TACACGAGAAGGCTGAAATCTTATCTCTAAAAAATTTGAGGTGTAGGGCAGCCTTTTGAAAAGCTCACAGGCATTTGAAAAATGAACCAAGATGCAGTAAGTAATCTGATGGTTATAATATTGGAAACTACATAACCAATAATCCTCTAATCCATTCCTTACTGATAAAGGAGCCTGCTACCTAATCCAAATTGAAATTGATAAGCTCAAGACATTTGATCACATCTTACAACTGTCTATCACCCAATCTCTGCTTCCTGAGTAGGCAGGCAACACAAGCAAGGGAAACTAATAGGTTTGCTCATGAAACCAATTTGGTAAATGATAAAACCTAAATTTATGAGCAGAGAATTCAGGTTACGTAAGTGAGAGCCAATTCTCCAAAATGTGCCTAGACTGATCTACAAGGAGGAAGATGGAATTTGCTACAAGGCATCTATTTATAAGCAAAAACAGTAAACAGGTGTTGTTCTCAGAGATGGAATATTCTCATTGATAAAAGATATAGTACTCCAAAATGTGCCTAGACTGATCTACAAGGAGGAAGATGGAATTTGCTACAAGGCATCTCTTTGTAAGCAAAAACAGTAAACAGGTGCTGTTCTCAGAGATGGAATATTCTCATTGATAAAAGATATAGTACTAAACAGTGAACAGCCACGGTGAAAGTCTCTGGAAGTAGTTGAAAAGTCCTTATTTATAAGAAGGTGGAAAGCTAATTGATGGGGAACGACGCGAGGGCTACGATTTGGGGACAAGAAATCGGTGACAACTTGGCGGAATGGTGTTGTAATCCATCACGAACAACAAGAAAATCGGTGACAACTTGGCGGAATGGTGTTGTAATCCATCACGAACAACAAGAAAGTTACTGAGTTGAATAGCGCACTGGGTTAATGTTCACCCACGAACCGTACTCCACCTTTTGGGCTTTTAGGTTTCTTTTGATATAATTGAATGATGGCGATCTTTTGTTGAGAGGATAAATGGCTAAGATGTTTCAGCAGTGACTTTTTGTTGAAGGATATTATAATTGCAGGGCTAGGATAAAAGAAAGGCCTCAGACCCAAGGGCATCACGACACTCCACATGTCATAATTTTAGCACTTCACATGATAACAAATTTCACATCTTAATCCTTTATGGAGGACTACAATATTATTTATAGAAAAAAACTAAACCTGGAAAGTAAATCAAATCCTAACCAAATCCTAATAAAAAGGAAGCAAAGATAAAATCTCTAACAAAATAAATCTCAAAGATCCTAACAATCTAAAATCTAATCCTAATGAGATCTTTACCTAAAATTGGAGATTACATCAAATATTATTAAAATAACAAAGATACTAGTAAATCTAGAAATTCCTTGATCAACGGCTAACGATCACCCTGCATCACTAATTTCAGAAAGATTGTTGGAGACACGTTATAGCTAATAGGATATACGGCTAAAATATCACAGGCATGGAATAAATCCAAATATCCCCATAGGTACCGTTTGGCAAAGGGTTAAGTGAGGGGTTAAGGAGACTTAACCCCTTCTTAACCTGCCAAACACAACAAATTTATATAAGGGTTAAAGTGAGTTAACCCTCCATAATTTGTCAAACATAAAAAATATAGAAGGGTTAAGTTAACCCCTCTAGAGGGGTTAAAATGAGTTAACCCCTCAAAATGAGGGGTTTACTAATACTCCTATTTAGATGGAATAAGAGTTAACCCTTCTAATTATGAAGAAAATAGTCAAAATCATTGTTATTCCCAAACACTAAAACTGATCATAAGGGCTAAAATAAAACTTATTTAACGGGTTAATAATTTAGTCCTTCGGATTATCAAATGGGCTAAGTATATTAATCCTTCTTTTTAACCCCTCTTCATTAACCCTTTGCCAAACGGGGCCATAAGGAATAAATTAATGCTTATTTAGCATGGATGCCTGTTAGATACTCCTTGGAATTGTATCCAACACCTTATGTGAAGTCTCTGATACAAAGGCACTTATCAAACTATGTCCTTCATACTGCTAGGACATTTCTTTATATCATCAGGATATGATCATTTTCATCTAAAACTACAAATTTTATAAAGATGTACCAAAAAAAAGTTCTATTACAATTTGGTGAATTTAAGATTTGTTTCAACACATTAAGTCCTCGGTAAGAAACTTATGCTGTGAAGCCAAATCCCATCTCCCACCATCAGATGCATGAAGTTTTAGTGTCAACCATATACAAATTATCAGCATGTTTTTAAAGCTTGTTTAACACTATGAAGTATACTACAGAATTTGGTCCGATGCTTATAGTTCAAGCTTTGTGTTTGGAAGCATATGCTTTAGTATGAAACCTCGCTAACCTAGATTCTATTAAACGATCATAATATCTTTTACTAATCATAATGAAAAGGGAAAATATATGAAGCTTGTGCTTTTAACTCCCATATGAGCTTCACCTTGTTCAGGCGTAAGTGTTTCGATATAAGCATTAACACATCGAGACATAGATAACTACTCTTAATCAAAAGGTTTTAGCATTTAAATCCTTGAGTTTTTACCAAACAACATATTTCTCCTTACCCACTGCATAATTCCAAACTAAGTTGCATAGAAACGGGTACTAATGTGGGTATCGCTATGGGTGCGGGTACGAGATACGGAAAAATTTTAAAATTACGTGTATGGGGACATGACTGCATGTATGTATCAATATAAATAATTTACATAAGATCATTATTATTTTCAACTTGTGTATTATTAGAATTAAAATTCTCATCACATTTTTAAGGTTCTTTTATTATGTTGATTATTATAAATTGGAAGTTGCTCGTTTTTGAAATAGACACTAAAACAGCCCCTTTAGACCCTACTTTTGAACTTGAGTATGAGCTGAAACAAACCCAACCCACACTCTAACAAGTTTCAAGAACGGATATGAAGTGTAGGATATACGTCCAAAACATGTATGGCAAGTGTTCTAAACTAAAACATATATCATATAATTGAGTACACGCCTGAATGAACATATGCATATATCCAAGGAGTGTCCATGAAGTTTGGGTAAGGGAACATGTCCCTTGTGTGTACGGCTTCATGATAGAAGTACCATGGTAACATAGAATCCGGATATGACCTTCTATTCATGAGTTATTTTGTAACTATGCCCTTCTTTAAGTGACGATTCGTGAAGGTATAGGTAATTATAAAATTTATGATTTATACATAGTTTTAAGTTAGTGAAGTTATTCTTTATGAAAAAAGTATCATATTTAGTTATTCTAGCAAGCATATCTTGCTAACATTCCCACATCAGTACTAGGTTTTTAAAAATGACTATATTTTTTTCTAGAAAGTGTATTTAGAATCTTTAGATAGATACACTGAAGCTAAATTTACATCATATATGTTGCCAAAACCAAGTGAACCATGCTTTATTACTTGAAAAATCAACACTTATTCAAATTTGTATATTAGTAGATGAAGAAAGTCTTGTTTGCCAAATAATTCGAGTGCAAGACATGTAAGGCCGACAGACCAATACTAAGTGAACCAGGTGCTGTTTCTCAAGCCAATCTATGCAGACGTTAGCAGTCACTCCGTTTCACTGGATTTAATCCCTTACACTCCTGTTAGAGCTCATGAAAGCATTAGCAAGCTCCAATCTACGAAAGTGATCCAACATTCTTTCTTCCGACGAAGTTATAGTTAAACATATTTCTGGATGATGTGCAGATACCAGTAGCATCGGTGCTTCTAAGTTCTATCAGCATTCTATCTGCCTACCTTCATGTTTGATTTCATCCACAAGAAGGAGCACTAGCTTAGATCATATCCATGATCTAAATAGCAAACAATAATAGAAAACACAAATAAACCAATGGTCCAATCAAGATATAAGGAATTACAGTATTCTGATAATTTGCCTGTGTCCAGAAGAAAGAGACAGTCTCTTCAACTTTTAGGAGATTACAGGTTAGCTTCCATGTCACTCTGAGATTTCAACTTCTTCCCATAGAGGCACGTTAAACTATCTGGCGCTTTCATAATACAAAGTGGAAGAAGTAGCATAGTGTTACAGCCATATCTCTTGAATTTAAAGATATTGCAATGGAGTTGGATTTAAATTCCCATCTGAAAGCTCATCGGGTTTGGACCTGGACATACTTGAATCCAACACAAATCCGACTCTAAATTTAAGACACACGTCTCTTGAGATTTTTATAAGCTAATTCATCCAATATAAACACAGGATTAAAAGTTGCCTTTGTTTGGGTGAACTATAGACTCATACTCTAATACGGCAGTTCTTCTTTTGTTAACAAATATTAGATTGCAAGTGAAACTGATAGTTTCGGTTTCTTTTTCTTCGCAAATACTATAACTTGTGAATTTCTGAAAGTACCAACAAGTATTTAAATGTCATCTATGAATAAGTGGATCAGGTTAGGATACTTTTGTGCATGGTGGGTTTAGTTTGGGTCTGGATACCTTTAAAGCTGATCGGATTTAGATATGGATACAACAGGTACCTGATCCCACCTTGACCTTTTGCCCTTACGGATGAAGTCTGTTAGGAATCTTGACCCCAAGATTAGTTTATTTTGATGATAACAAATATTATATGTTGTGTGTATTATGTGCTAATATTTGTTTTGCAGTATCAGAGCTATATCAATAATTATATTCAAAGAGATACTCAAGACATAGATGAGTTCAAGGCAAAATGAAGCAAAGAAGAAGATATACTTTATTGTCTAAATGTAATTTTATATTTTCTTTGCTTAAAAATTTGTACAAGCCTTGATCACTCACACATACACACACATATAGTGTTATAACACACTAACACATGCTTAGTGTGTTGGTTAACAATAGAAATCTCCTATGTTAGCCATTAGAGTTTATAGATATTGAGTGAGTCTTAAAACATTTCATTTATACCCGTTATCAATTAGAATCTGGAAAAACCCAAAAGATCAAAGTTGTAGGTCTCTTCAAGAGCTTTCCAACAAATCTTAAATCACCTCATTCTGATATCGGATGAGAAAGTTACAGTCAAAATACTGAAAAGAAAAATTCCAGAATTTGAGTTTACAGTGTAGTCGACTACTATGCCTTGTAGTCGACTACTAAGCAATTTTCTGACTTCACAGAGTCTGTTTAGACTCAGTGTAGTCGACTACTATGACTTGTAGTCGACTACAGATGCAGTTTTTCTAGATTTCAGGTTTTAAATAAGTGACTGTTTATAGCCGTTTTGTGGACGTTAATTGGGTTTAAAATTATGTCATTTCAGAGGCTATAAATAGGTTTAAACATCAGAAAACAACAACCAAGTTTTACACTTATAAGACTCACATATTGTGCAAATTAACTCTCTAAACTTTTAGTTTTTCAATCTATTTTTTTATAAAAGAGAGTTTCTGATATTGCCTTTGTTCCTATCATTCTTAGAGCTTATTTAGGCAATATTCAGAGAGTTAAAAAGATTGATAAGCCACTGTTATACATTCACATCTATATCAAGGCTTATAGGATTGGAATTGTACATTGCTTCAAAGAAAGGTTCTCTCGGTTTATGGTTTAGAGATTTGTGTTCAAATTGGCAAGGTGTTTGTCAATTGATGTTGTAATTTGCAGGGACTTGCAAATTGGTCAGGTTTGAGTTTGATTTTGTAAGTTTATTCAAAATCATAGTGAAAACTCTCAAGCGAGATTTGCTTGGGGACTGGATGTATACCGGATTGGTGGAACCAGTATAAATCCTTGTGTTTGTGATTGTGAATTTCTGAGAATGCCATTTTTCTTTGCAATTTATAATATACTTTGCATAAATTTTAAAAGAATACTATTCACCCCCCCCTCTAATGTTCAAGTGTATCTATTTCAGATCCTACAAAGTCAAGCAGACAATTTATCATATTACTTTTCTTTGGATTGTTTTCTTGATTCGCTAGGGTCTAAGGGGAAAATTTTGAACTGAGGTTAGATATAAATGAACAAATCATAGGAATTCAACTTTGAGGTTTTCGCTTTCAACTTTTTTATCCCCGTCCCTCGTGAACTAAAGAAGAAGCAAATCTCTTTCACCCAAATGACAACATTAGTCCCATTACAAATTTCCAAAATAGATCTAATAAAAACATCAGAAGATTAAACGGCCAAAAATAATAATCTTTCAACACAGGCTTACAAGTTGAGATATCAAAACTGGTTTTTGTTGAGTGTTGAGAGATCAGAAATTTTACAGGTAGTTTTAAAACAATAAAATGAAATTTCAACATCGCTTGTGACGGTTATGCAAAAGGCGAAAACTTGGCAAGGAGATTTGAATACAGAGAAACAAGAAAAGAAGAGTTCAGCACTCATCTTCCTCCTTCGGGACATGATTTTGAACAGTTCTTTCTCCTCCTCCACAGGGTAAGTTGTGACGAGTTCTTTCTTTCTTTCATCCTTTTAAACTTTCTCATTATTTTACTTGTTTAGCTGACTCATGATTTTGTTTGAATTTTCTCAGGGTTAAGCGATAAAGAAGATGAAACAAGATGGACATAACAAATGGGTTATAGACTAAAATAGCAGTTAATGTTGTCCAAAAAAGGTTCATGTGCTACCCATATTGAAATATCCTTACATGCAACAAAGGGGTAACGGAAAAATCATAGTATAAAGGATAAAACATCCCAACTAGAAGAAATATTTTTTTTTCAGTATATGATATTTTTCTATAAAGTTGGTGAAACACTGTGGTAGTTTTGTACTAAAATGTAAGCCGCTCCAAGTGTTGTCCAACAAAAACTTTCAGACCTCACTCGTAGTCCTTACTCTAGTATTAGATCTCTCACTTCTAAGTTATAACAATTATCTATTCTCTAGTTCCTTTTCGAAAAGGTCAACATGCTACCCATATTGAAATACCCTTACATGCGACAAAGGTAGTGAAACATTGTGTTATGGCATACAAGCCAAATTGTAAGACGCTCCAAGTTGCTGCACATCAAAAACTTTCAGACCTCACTCGTAATCCTTGCTCTAATAGTAGATCTTCCACTTTTGTAACAGTTATCTATCTTCTACATCCTTTCCAAAAAGGTTTATGTGCTATTCGCATTGAAATATCCTAATATCCAACATAGGGTGACTGGAAAATCACAAGTATAAAGGATGGCATATTCAACTAGATGAAAAAAAATTCCGCACGAGATATTATCCCAGAAGGTAGTGAAACATTGTGGTGTTTATGCACATAAGCCAAATTGTACGTCGTTCCAAGCTGCTGCCCAACAGAAACTTTCAAGCCTCATTCACTTGCACTCCTTACTCTAGAATTAGCTCTCTCACTTCTAAGACAAATATCCATCTTCCACTTCCTTTCAAAAAGCTTTATGTGCTTACCCACATTCAGATATCCCTATATCCAACAAAGGGGTGAAAGAAAAAATCACAGTATAAAGGATAGAAAATCCAACAAGATGAAGAAAATTCATTATGAGATATTTATCTAAAGAGGAGGTAAGATTGTGGTATGCTCGCACATAAGCCAAATTGCAGGTGGCTTCAAGTAGCCGCCCAACAGTAACTCTCAAACCTCGCTCGTAGTCCTTACTCTAGTATTAGATCCCTCTCTTCTAGGTTGTAACAGTTATCTATCATCTACTCCCTTTCCAACTGAGTTTTAATTTGAAAATCTAAAGCGCAGAACGTCTGCATTAATTTTCGTAGTAATGCCGATAAATTAATTTGAACTTGAGAAATTGCAATAAAAGGAATTGCTTCACAGTGAGAGAAATTATATGGACAGGCTTTCCATATAGGTAAAGAGAAATTGTGATCTCCTCATTTTAGGGGTACGACGGGCTTCCCGACTTGCCATAAACTGAAACATTGCGATTTAATACGCGGTTCAAGGCCAGAGGGATGGTTGACCAGCAAGCATTTTAGAGTTGCATCTTCCTTCTAAAGAAGAAGAATGAAAGGTATATGCATCTCAGCAAGAGTCGGCAAATGAAAACCCATGAGCGGGGCCGGGGAATTCGAGAAGGTGCAATTTTCCATCCGCAGCCACACTTGCAAACCAAATAAAGTGAGGTACAAGTCCAAAGGCCGCGCTAAATCCGTTAAAATGCATAAATCCCAAGCTTAATGAAGGAATTTTACCAGGCTTCAGATCTCGGTGGATGATCCCGTGGGAATGCAAACATTCCATCGCCCGAGCAATATCCAAAGCAAACCCAACGGCCACACGAGGCTCCAAGCTCCGCGGCCTCATATTCAGCATGTACTTGCGCAGGGATCCTCCGAGCAGGAGTTCGGTAACAACAACCATTACAGGCTCCTTGCAAGCTCCGATGAACTGCGCAGCGAAAAGAAGAAAAAATAAATAAGGGTAGTTACAACAACAGATCAAGCACTACCACCTGTACGCATTTATGTACAGAATAAAAGAAGAAGAAACAGCCCCATCGGGATCAATATAAGGAGGGAAAACACAAACAAACCTTAACAAGATTCTTGTGCTGGACTTTGGTGAGCATGGAGACCTCCCTCATGAACCTACCCTCCCTCTTGGTCACCTCCTCAGGGGTGTCTCCTTTGTGCACGATCTTGATGGCAACATTCTGGTTCTTGTACCTAGACAGAGAGAGAGGGAGTGAAGCGGCAAGCAAGCAAACAAAACAAGCAAACAAGCGAGTAATTAGAACCACCAGCATCAATTCCAACCCCGAATCGTGTCTACAGGGAGAAAGAAAGAAAGGAAAAAAAAAAAACTTACTTGCCCTCGTAAACCTTGGCATGGGCGCCTTCCCCGATCCTGGGGCCGACGAAGAGAAGCTTGGGATCAATGAGCCACTTGGGATCTAAGCTGGGCTCATCAATGGAGAAGAAACCACTTCCAGAATCCATCATCATCTCTGTAATAAGAGCTAGCGACGAGGAACAAGATCTACCATCTAAGCATCCCCATGGCCAACCTCGAAGAGGGACGGGATGATCTCAGAAGGACAACGCCCCCGCTCCCACATCATCGTCCTGACCGATCGCCATGCTCGCGTTCTTGTCCCGGCCCCCCCTCCCCTCCCCTTCGAAGAATTCAGGCAGCGCGATACATACACACACAGGGGCTTCTCTCTTTCGCCCTCAATTTTGGGAGCCAGCTAGAGAAAGAGAGTTCCAGTTTGGGCAGCCAGATTGCGGCGCGATTTAGATCGAGGAGGAGGAGAGAGATGAGATGAGAAAGAGGGTGCGGATTGACTTTCACCTCTCCCACTGCTTCTTTCATCCTTTAGTTTTTTTTTTTTTTTTTTTTTGTTTAACGATGAGGAGGAGGAAGATCCGATCTCATCACCCTATTTAGCTCTAGTTCTAGTTCTAGTTCTCTCTCTCTCTCCCCCCCTCGCTCTTTCTGCGTTCGTGATTTTTTATCTTTTGTTTTTTTTTTACAGCGGGAGGGTAGAAGAGAGACGACTAATAATAATAAGCGGTTGTTAACGAGAGAGCAGTAAACCACTCGACCACCGGGTTGTTGCTCTCCAAAAAAGTCGGGAGCGAGGAAAATTTCGGAACTCGCTGGTTATTTCTCTCTCCCGAGGGTCGAGGGTCGAAGGTCCAGGACGCGTCAACTACAGAGGAGTCCTTTGTGTGTTTTCGTCAGCGTATGGGCAGGGTGGGCGTCTGGTGAGGGCCACTGAGGAGGAGGAGCACTTCTTCGTGTTTTTGTGTGTCCTTTCGGGAATTAAAATTTTATTTATGGGACCAAATGTTTTTGGAATATTAAGAGCATCTCCAACAGCTTCTTCAAAATTTTCTTCAAAATGGGGAAGCAAAAGTCATATTCTCCAACTAATTTTTACACCAACTCCAACAGCTTCCCCATTTTGAAGAATCAATTTTTTCCTCCAAAAATTTGAAGAATGCTGCAGATTTGGGGAAGCTTCCCCATTTTTTCTCCTCCATCCCTATTTTAGGGAATGAGATGGGGAATCTGTTGGGCCAAAAACCTAAATAAATTCTCCAAAATGAGAAATGGGGAAGCTGTTGGAGATGCTCTAACACCCAGATTAATAACAATAAAAAAGACACGCCAATTGACTCATGATTGCTCTCCTTATTATTGAGTCTAAGATTTATCTGTTGGGGTTGAGAAAGCAAGCAAACATGCACGGTAACCATGGGAGTGAATATTGTTCGGACCTATCTGGCTCCATGCAAGGGAATGAGATTGGAACTTTAAATTCTAAGGGATTGTGGTTTTTCAAATAGTAAATAACCAAACTTCCCGAGTAACGTTTCTGGGAATTGAATGAAAATGTTAAATTTTGAGAAGTCAATAACCAAAGGCTGCATTTATAATCTATAGTCTCTCGTTTGTGTAATCTATAATCTATAGTCTCTCATTTAATTAGTATATAATAACTATTTATCCGATGCTCGTGGACCTATAATTTGACGTGAACCACGGAAAACACTTGTGTTTGTACTTGCCATTTCCTTTCTATGTTATTTGTTACTCTTGCTTTTTTATCTTGATTTCCGCAAAACCCCTCAATGCTAATGATTTAAGAAAAAAATTTATAATGGCTTCACATTAGGGTTGGGCGTGGGTGACGCAGCGTGGAAGTAGTAGCCTCGGAATCCACCAAGTACAATCTTCAAATCCACGAAGAGCTTCGAATCCACAAAGTAAAATTGAGGAAAACAAAATTTTATTAATTAAAGTTATGTCTCTAGGACTTACAAGGCTCTACTTAAATAGAAAAAGAAACAAGACTTCTACAATGATTCAAACTTTACCAAAAATAGTAAAAGAATTCCTAAAACATTAAAACTTCTAAAAAGACTTCTTATGGCTAGGAAAGTCCACCGGTCAAATCTGAGATCAAATCGGATTTGTTTCGTAATCAATACAGACTCCTAAAACATTACTATAAATAGTAAAAATCGGACAAAAATACAGATATCACTCAAACCGTAATGAATTTAGCGAAACGGAGGAAGCATACCGAACCCTTTGGTAGGTTTGGTCGGATCCGTCTCGTTGAGATAATCGATTTTCAGATATAATTCGTCCAATTCCGACGTACGGTTTGAAAGTTATGGTCGTTTCTTCGTAGCAAGTTATTTTCTTCGACCAGGCCCGCATTTAAGCTTGCGACTGTCCCACTTTGGCATAAACATGTCTGTCTTGTGTTCTAAATCAGTGGGTCGGGTCGACCTGTGGGTTAACCTAGCCTAATTCACCATGCGTGCCCCAACTCGCCTCGTAGTGGGTCGGGCCCGACTGAGTCCACCTCCAAACTTAGGATTAGAGAAATAGGCCCGACCCACACTAGCCTTGCTCACGCTCGACCCTTCTCGACCCAATCTGTCCTGATCAATGATATCCAAAGTTTAGCACAAGTATAAAAATAATTTAATACACGTTTAAATTACTAAAAGATAAATTAGAAATAATTTTATGATTGTAAATACGAGTTTAATATAATCAAAAACGTAAAAAAATATAAATGTAAAAAAAAATTAAAAAAAGTTTGGATAAAAAACTCATAGGTCAGCCCACGACCCATGGGTCATGGGTCAGGTCAGACCCAGCCCGCAGCCAAGCGGGTCGTGGGTCGGGCTACATCCAATTCCATACCCGAGATCAGAGAAATAGACCTGGTCTATTCTATTTCGGTTAGCCTTGAACCATATGGGCCAAGTCCTGGGCCTGAACCTACCCGACCCACACGCACCCCTACTCCGGATAAGAAAATTGTCGGAGGCTATTTAGAAAGGATCGCATCTCCACCAATCAAACTTAATGTATTATATATTAAGATTAATTAATGCTTACATATTAATTATGTACGTAGTGGAGGACATTTCAGAGTGGTACCCAGTCGCAAATTTATCCAAAATCAATCCAAAGGGAGATGCCCAACAATTAAACAAGTGGAAGGCACATGGACGTTGGCCCTTTAACACGGGGCACAATTCTTATATTACCAAAATTGATTAATTTAAACATTTCTATCACCATTCACAACTTAGTTAATGACCAAAATATTTTATTTAAACATTAAGTTTATTATGATTAGAGTGAAGTAGCGAAGATGAGAGGAAGCATCCGCTTCGCAATAACGTGTGTTTTATATTGTTCTCTTTCACATTGCCTTATGTAGTTTATTGCATTAATTGCTTTATAGCCAAATACTTAATTGTGTGTGTTTCGAGAACTTGAGCCATGCCTCTTGGTCTCAACAAAACAGTATCAATGCATGGAGTACATTAAACCATATTATGCTTCCGTACCTCTGAAGTGTTGATAGCATCCAAAGTGGATAAATAGAGAATAGCCTAAATTTAGTAAATTTAAAAAAAAAAGATCATTTATGTAACTTTATGAGCAAAATCGACCAATGTGTTTTTGCTATTATAGAAATGACTAAGTGTTAATCCAACTCTAGAAGGTGGCCATTCTCAAACCCATCATTGACAACCAATCACCATCATATTAAATGCATAATTGGAGTCATCATTACATCGACCCCGAAAGTCTTAATGACTCATTGGACCTTGTCCGCATATTACTTCCCCATGTCACCATCCCATTAATCACAGAGCTGAGGTGAGTCATACCACCCGTAGCTTACACCTGTAAAGTATCAGCTGAATAAGCTGACTGCTTGAACTTGGCCGGAGTTACACAATTGACCTCCTGGATCTCCTATATAAATAGGTGCACCGCCTACCATATGGAGGTGCGCAATCTTTTGTAATATAACACACTGCAATCGTATTTTTCTTCTCCACTTAAGATCAATACTGACTTGACCGTCGGATGTGTTGGGGGAGAAATCGGGCCCAATCTAAAGTTGGTGGGCCTTAAACAGAAGTTAGGAATCAATTTTAACCCAAAAACTATAGCTATCAGGTATTGATCCAAAACTCCTATTTAAACTCATTACTCTTTCTTATCGATGTGGGACTATACTCACATATTAATCACCTCAACAGGAGGAACCCTCGGAGAACCTAACTCTAATCCTCTTACGTATTGTTTGTGTGCAGGATCAAATCATCTGTTCAATAATCAACCATTAGAGAGGATTGAGGAACCCTAAAACTCTTCACAATCCACATTAAATTTCCCTATTTAATATCTGACATTAACAATTTTAATTAGTAAAATCGACCTTTTTTGACCATGTCATCACGACTGGCCAAAAGAGATCGATTTTACAAAATATAATCTTTAAAATATAAGGGACTAGTAGTCTTATGTATTTAGAGATGCTTAATTAAGAATTAATTACTTCTATGTAGTCCCGTTTACATATAAAGATCTAATTAGCTGGTAATTAGTTATCATTAAATACATAAGACTAGTAGTCTCGTGTATATCAAGTATTGTATTTTGCAAAATCGATTTTTTTTTAACCAACCGTGATCATGTAGCAATAAAAGATCGATTTTGCTCATAAAATTTTAGAAAGGGTCTTTTAATAAAAAAAATACTTTGTTGGATTTAATCTAATAAATCTAATTTGTGGGCACATATGATTAATCAATGTGTATTGCTATCTTTCAGGATAACCCACTAAAGTGATCAATTAAGTTGGGTTAATGGGTATTTAAATATAATCATGGGGTCATATGTGCAGATACCAGGTTGTAATTGTAATTTATTGAGGGGCTAAATTACAAAAGTACAACATCTATAAATAAGGGTTATGGTCCCTAACCTAGGGTAACATTCTCTAATTCTCTACACCCCATCTAGCTAGAGAAATTCGGATTTAGAGAAACCCTAAGGTTAGAAGATCAAAACCCATCTCAAGATCAAACAATGGATTCAGGTATAAGCTTCCGCTCTTTTGATTATTGTTAATCTCTTTGAATTAATCATGGCTATATGGTTTTAGATCTCAAGTTTTATGATGTAGATCTAACAAGTGGTATCAGAGCCACCTTTATTAATTCTTAGGGATTTAAGTTTTATTGGGTTTTTGATCTTAAATCTCTGGTTAAAGATTCAATTTTTTGGGTTCGGATGAACAGTAAAAAATTTTTTGGGTTCGGGTGAACAGTAACAAAAAGTTTTCGGATGAACAGTAA